AGGAGGAAGAAGAGGAGGAGGAGGAAGAGGAAGAAGAAGAGGAGGATGAAGAGGAGGAGGAGATGGCTCCTGAAGTGATCTGTGAAGAAGCTCCTCACACTTCTCAGGACACCCAGAAAAGCCACTGTGAAGGACAGTTCAGCCCGAAGCCCGAGTACTCGGTTATTGTGGAGGTCCGGTCGGATGATGACAAAGACGATGATGCCCGCTCCCAGAAATCAGCAGTGACTGATGAGTCAGAGATGTATGACATGATGACGAGGGGGAACCTGGGTCTGCTGGAACAAGCCATCGCGCTGAAGGCTGAGCAGGTGAAAATCGTGCGGGAGCCCAGCCGGCTGCCAGGAGACCACGTCAAGCACTTCCAAGTGGACGAGAAACAGAGCAAACCACTGGACAGCATCCGAAAGAGCTACTACGGCAAAGGTACGGGGTCGAGCCATCGTGTGCCTCCTTCCTTCCTATCCTGCTAAGTTTGTCTGCTCAGCTCCCCATGAAAACCAGGCTGCTGGGTGGATCCATAGCCCACAGAGGGAATTTAGCCACAAATCCTCACTGCCCACAGCGATGGGGCCATCCTAGAAGTCAACAGTGAATGCACAAAGCAATGGTGTCCTCTACATCTCCGCAGGGGAATTGCCTGGCTAAATTGTCTGTTGGCCTTGAAAATCTCAGCCTGAGCAGTAGGGCTGGTTTAAAATCCAAGTGTGTTTTCAAGTAGTGGTAGGAGTCCGGCCACAGCCACACAAGGGTCTTGGCAGGGGCTGCAAAGGTTTCTCCCTGTTTGACTGGAAAAGTGGTGGGAAGCATCCTTGGCAATTTTTCTCTCCTTTCCACCTCTTCCTCTCCAAATCTGCTAACCTGCTCCCCACCACCCTTTTCCTACAATCCCTAGATCCTTCAAGACCCGAGAAGCGAGAAATCAAATGTCCGACTCCTGGCTGCGACGGGACCGGCCACGTCACGGGACTCTACCCCCACCATCGCAGCCTCTCTGGTTGTCCACACAAAGACAGGATCCCTCCCGAGAGTGAGTACCCGGTGGGATAACAAGGATTGCTTAAATCGGTCTGAAGCCTTATTTCCCAGGGGGGATTTCACACCTGGATGGGTAGAGCTGTCTCAAGGCCAAGGGCCACTCCAAATAGTCCCAAATGATGGTAATTTTATGACCAAGTCCCTAGCGCAAGCCTGATGTTAATCCTTGGTGTGTAACGGAGTTTCAGGCATGGGATGGTGCTTTTCCAACTTTTTCTGGGATGCTTTTATCCACCAAAGTGTTAGCGTTCTTCTTGGGAAACGCTTCGGAGCTGACTAGGAAGTCCGCCCCTTCTTAAAGATTTTTAGCACCATCCTGTGGAGAATGAGGTCCCTTCTCTGAAAATCAAAGAGGTGCTTTAAAAAAATGACTGCCCACCGCCAGAGCTGTGTTAAGCCGTTCCCATCCTTACCTCGAACGTCCCATATTTTTCTCTATTTGGGATATCATGTCGGAAAGAAGGGGAAACTCTTCTCTCCTGCTGTCCAAACGTGCCGGAGGTGGTGTGGTACAGCAAAGGAGAGGAGCTGTTCAGACGTGCAGGATAGTTGAGTCCCCTCCTCTCACCACTGTAAAATTCACAAGGTGCTATATCGAGATTCATCTATTCCACAGAAAATATTTATCATCATCATAACAGTTTTTTACACATATCTACATAGAGAGATATTTTCTTTCTACCTCTCTACCAGCATCCTAAATAGCTTTTCCTGTGCATATACATAAAAATCAATGTTGTGTGTTTATGATAATGGCATAATAGACCAAAAAAAAAAAAGAAAAAAAATAAAGAGCCCTTCCTTATCAGTAGTTTCAAAGGTTGCAGACCTGCCATAAACACAGAACTGCGGGAAACAAGGAGAAAGCACAGCTATCTTCACGCAAGCTTGAATGCAAAAAAAAAAAAAGATATTAATAAATAACTAACACAAGCTGTGTGCTTTGGAAAAGCTTGCAAATCAAATTATTTTCTTTACTTTTAAGGTCAGCGCTGCAGGAAGCAATAATCCTGAAGATTAAAATGTAAAAAAAAAAAAAAAAAAAAATCAAACAAAGACTAGTCCTAAGGATAAAATCAGAGATACAACTTCAATCACTTAAAAACTACCTGAAACTGGGAGACATGGCTCCGAAACAGTGGTGGGCTGGAGGGGGGGGAAACTGGATTGGGATCAGTGAAGGAGGAGAGAGCCCAAGCTGTGTGCACAGATGCTAATCTAGTGCTGACCCCAGCTCCGCTGCCTTGTAAAGCTTTTTTCCTCTCCGCAGACAAATTCTAATTACAGCATTTCACATTCCCTGATTTCTAGAAAACCAGCCTTCGAGACTTGATGATTTTGTCTTTTTTTGTGTGTGTGTTTGTTTTTTCTCTGATTTTTATCAAGTCGTTTTTACTTCCCTTCCCCTCTCCCCTTCCCCTTCTCGCTCTGAAGTCTTGGCCATGCACGAGAACGTGTTGAAATGCCCCACGCCAGGCTGCACAGGACAGGGCCACGTCAACAGCAACCGCAACACGCACAGGAGGTACCACCTTTGACTTCTCCTCCGTAACGGCTGGGGCAAGGATGGCAGAGGGGCACCCAGCCCAAAAGATGTTGGTTTTCCTCTCGCATGGAGAGATGGTGTAACTAAGACGGGTGAAGTTGGGATGACCCTAGGACAATAATATGGGAAAGCAAGATGGGACAGTGATTTCTGGCTGGGAATAGAGCAGAACAATGCTTCCAGGGTCACAGATGGAAGGGTAGATGCAGGTGGGGGGTTCATAGAAGAGGTGTTTGGCACTTGGGAAGCAGAGGGTGCCTGGTGAGGCTGACTGGAGGGTGATGTTTGTGTTTGGTGGCGTGGCACTTTGCTGGATTTCTAGGAATTTCCACAATATTTCAGCTGAAATGAGTCCACAATACTGATGAGCTGAGACTTTTGGTCTTCTTGCTGCAGGACCTCAGCCCAGCTGTGGTCAGGAGGGGACAGGGTTGAGCTTTGGGACCTGTAATTATACCCCGTGCTCTGGCTTTGGTCAAACTCCAGCACTTTTACAAATTAAAAGGCTGCAAGCGGAGTGGATGATGCTCTTAAAAGCTAGAAACCTTCCAAAAAGCTTGTGCTACAGGGCTGCACTCATGAATTTATGATTTACCGTTCGTTGTGCTTCAGCTTAATTGGCAGAGCGTGACGGCTCCGCGAACGTCGATGCGTTCGCAGGCACGAGGTGTGTTTGTGTTGCTGCTCGTTCAGCCAGGGAGGAAGCTGGTGGGTGCTTCATCATAGCCGTAGCTGCTAGAGGAAAATTAGGGAAATCTGCTTGGTTAATCGAGAAGCTCGGTTTGGTACCGGCAGCAAGCGAGATCGAGGTGATCCACTGGAGTCAGTGGGTTATGGAGAGAGCTTTGGGCACAGCGTGTGGGCTGAGACCCGGTGGGATCAGAGCCCTGAATTTCACCCGGGGCTGGGCTGGGGTTTCCTTGGTGCTGGCTGCTCCGGTGATGAAGGTGCCTGTGATGGTTTGGGGTTAGATGGGAGCACGTGGGCTCTGCTTGCAAGGGGTTTTTACCTTCCCTGAGTGATCTCCATAAGAGCCAAGCTGTCCCAAAGAGGCAGAGCCAGGCTCACGTGTAGGGTGTGTGTGAGCAAAAGCCACTACAGCCCCGACCTCCCCCGGCACCGGCGCGCTGGCAGCCGTGCACATCAGAAGTGCAAATGTTTTCCCTGCACGTGTCCCTCACAAGGTTCCTTTCAAACAGCCCCTGCAAAGGATCCAAATAAATACAAATCAAAAACGCCATTTAACTGCTAAAACCACTCAAAGAAACCAGCCCATCCCCTTCTGCCCCTGCTGTGTTCATCCCAGGGGACCTGCCTCCTTGATCCCCCTCTGAGCCCTGGGGATGCTCTGGGGCTCATCCTGGAGAGATTTGGCACTTGAAGTCTGGCTGCTTTGCTGCTTGCCAAGGCTAAAAGCAAACGAGGATAACAATAATAAAAAAACTCCTCAACCCTTAAATGCAAACACTTTTCCCACGGGCTCAGCGCAGTTTTGGGTCCCTGGAAGGAGTGAAGATGTTTGTACTCATCCCTCACACTTTGTTTCCTTCTCTTTTTTTTTTTTTTTCCCTTCTTTTTAAAAAAAACCCCACAACCTCTCTCAGTTTATCTGGGTGCCCCATTGCTGCTGCTGAAAAATTAGCCAAATCGCATGAAAAGCAACAAACCCAGTCTGGTGATCCTTCGAAGACCAGCTCCAATTCTGACCGGATACTCAGGTAAATGGGACTGGGAAGCCCAGCACCGTGTAACCGCGCGGCCCCAGCCCTCCCCGTAACGCCGCGCTCGCCAGAGCAGCCGGCGCGGCTCCCACCGGCTCTGTCTTCATACTGCTGAGTCCTGCTGTTATGATCACAGGTCTCGCCAAGGTGGGCAGATATTTAATTGATGATCCCAGGGAGGGCATGGAGGACAATGAATTGCTTCTGTAGCATCAATTAATGCTGAGGCTCCAGGCCAAAGGGTTTTACCGGCGCAGCAGAAGGCATTTGTGCCGACTGCTCTGCAATGCAAACTGCCGGCGAATGACGGCTATTATAGTAGCATTATAAGTAGGGTGGGCTCGGGGAGAGGGAGGAGGAGATTCAGGCTACATATAAATCACTCCATGGCAGTTTTGCATAAGTCCACCCGCTCTTCTTCCCTAACCCGCACGGTTCAGAGAAGAACCTGCCACTCATTTCCAAACCAGTTGCATTTATTTTATTTCACCCATCTCTATCTTCCCGGGAGAAAGGGCTGTCTGGGGTTAAGGATGTCCCTGACAGGCGCTGGCTCCCGTAGCCGATGTGACTCACACAGCTACAGATGGACCATAGTTTGGTTAGTTATTTTGCAACGAGAGCAGGATAAAAGCCACAGTAGGAGCCCCGAGCAGCCCTCCCACAAAGACATCGAGGTCCCATTAATTTATTTATTTGCTCCCCAGGACTGCTGAGCCCCCCAGTGCCCCAATGCTTATTCCTTTGCAGCAGAGCCCGTGCCGGGCGCTCTGAGCGCATCACTGGGACGGTCCATGCTCCAAGGAGCTCCCGCTCCAAGGACTCGCTGGTGGAAAGAGGTCACGGGAAGGAGACTAACAATAGGCCGTTTATATACAATTTATATGCAAGACAAATTGCTTCATGCCAGGCAGCCCGGCAGAAGCGGGTCTGTAACAGGGACTCTGCAGGCAGGGGAGGGGCCCTGGTGCCTTTGCAATGAACCTGTGGTGGGAAGCGGGGCTGAACCGGGGTCCTCCTGCCTTCATGTGCCATCCTGTGTCGTGGGTCCCATAAGAGGATGATGCCCAAGTTGGAAAATGCTGCCATGCCACGGCAGCCTGCAGGAATGTTGTTTTGCTTGAGATCGACGCCTTGGAGTTTTTCTTAAAAAGAGAAGGGAAAAAAAGGGCAAAAAATGGGGGAAAAAAATAAAAAAGGTATCTAAGAAACCTAAATTAGACACCGACTTGCTGAGGGAGAGCAAAAGGGCTGTCTTTGTTTCCTCTTCCCCAGCAACCCCTTGGGGACAGGGTGCCACGATGTGTCCCCATCACGTCTGGTCCCCTCCCAAGAGCCACCTTGTCGAGAAAAAAAGAAATCACTGTTGCTCGTTGTTTCATCCTCAGGCCTATGTGCTTTGTGAAGCAACTGGAGATCCCTCAGTATGGAAGCTACCGGCCCAACATGGTCCCAGCAACCCCTCGGGCCAACCTGGCCAAGGAGCTGGAGAAGTACTCCAAGGTCACCTTCGATTATGCAAGTTTTGATGCTCAGGTTTTTGGCAAACGCATGCTTGCCCCAAAGATTCAGACTAGCGAAACCTCACCTAAAGCCTTTAAATGTAAGTTGGGAGCAGGGATGGGCTGGGTTTTGCATTTTCTGCCTTTCTCAGCGGGTCGCGAGGCTCTTGGGATCGTGGCTTTGGGGTGATGGGACAGTCTGGGGGCTGAGCTGCTGCGGAGCAGGGGAAGAAACGGGATGGGGGAGGCTGTGGTGGGTTCTGTGGTGGGCCCCTTTGGTGGAGAGAGGAGCCTGTAGCTGCCAGTAAAGCTTTGCTTGGGGGAGAGTCGCTTTGGCTTCAGCTTCAGGAAGAATTGCAAGTGGTGGTGACATTAATCTGAGAGATGTCTCTAGGTGGGTTAAGTTACACAGTTGTCCTCAGCCGGTCCCTGCTGCTTTGCAGTTCATATCTATCGATCTGTCTTTCCTCATCTAGCTAAATGGATTAGAGTTTTCTTCTCTTCCATCTTCTATATGACCCACTCCACCCATTTGTCTGCTCTGCCCTGCTCTGCTCTCCCGCTCTGCTACCCATCGATCACCTACCTCCTACCTCCCAGCTCCTTCCCATTGTAGCCGCCCACCTCTGCTCTGCTCTGAGGACCTCGCGCTGCTTCCAACACTGTGCCACGGAAGCGTGGGTGAAAATGAAATGGATAAATAAAGCCTCAGGGGCTGGGCTGTCGGGAGCTGCACGGGGAGCCCGCCTGCCGCAGAGCGATGTCAAACCTCCCCCTTCCCTTGGACATTGGACGTGTACCTGAAGACATCTTTTTGAGGGAAGAAAAAAAGAAAAAATAATATTTAGGAGCCCAGTTTGCAGAAGTCAGCAGCCCCAAGAGGGCTTTCTGTCTGGCTAATCCCACTTCCACAATCCCGTTTAATCCTGATGCAGCTGCTCTCTAAAAAGTGCTCGTACTTGAAAGCATCCCGGTTGCTGCACTGCGATGGAAGCGCCCTTTATTACGGTACTAAATCTGTACAGGATCAGACAATGAAATTGGATGGAGGCCAGGGAGCACAACTGCCACTGTCATCCCGGGTTAGGGCTGATGGAAAAGTAATTTGTTTCCCAGCACAAGTGATTCTCTTGCTGAATAGATTGTGTTATTTGCAATATTAGCAAAGAATTTTCAGGGTAATTGTACTGACAAAAATAATTCCAGCAGACCCGCTAGGATAATCCTTTCTATTTTTTCTCATCACTTATTTGACTAATTTGCTGATTGCGAGTCTATTAGCGGTAGAAATACTTATGAAATGGAAAAGCATCGCTGAGCCTACGGTGTGAAATTGAAATTGGCATCTCACGATCCTGGATATTGTCAGGTGGGGCTGGCGAATACCCGCACCCCGCCGCAAAGACGTGGATTAAACCGGCCTCGCAAACAGGCAGCCGTACACCAGAATAACCATTTGGGCAAACCTCCAACGAGTTAATCAAAGCAGCAAGATGAAGATGATTGCCAATCATAGCAGGGAAAGCTGTTCCTTTCACTGAGAACTTATTTTAAAGAGATCTTCATCCAGAGGGATTTATATTCCCCTGCATGTGTGTGCATAACTCCCATTAATGTCAATATGCATTATATACGCACGCGACGAGGAAGAAAGCGGTCCTGGGGAAGATTTGCATTTTAGAGTGTCTTATATTATGAGTTTGTAATGGGAATAATGACATCGTTTTGCTCTGGAGCCACATCAACAAAGGTTGTCTTGAAGCTTTGCCATCGTCGGGCCAAAGCTTGTGAGTCTTCCCCAGCGAGACTCCTGCTGGAGAGGGTGGATTTTTTTCCCCCCAAAAGGGCATAGTGGAACGAATCCAGAATTTAAAGATTTTGCTCATTGATTCAGAATCTGGTTGTTCAAAACCAGAT